TAAAAATTATATTAAAACATTTTGTTGGATCTAGTTTTCAAAATTCTGATAAAAGTAAAGAGCTTTTAATGAATTTAAGATGCCCCACCTTAACACATTTTTGGTGGTATAAAGATGTATTTTTGGCTAAAATTTTGTTAAGACCAGATGCTAATAATGAATTCTGGAAAGAAAAATTTATTTAAGGATTACCCAGTTTATTTGCTGAAAAAATAAAGATTCGTTTAAAGCAAAAACATGAAAGATTTAAAATCCCTTATGAGAATTATACTTATGGAGAACAAGTTTCTGAATATATTTCGGAAGGATTAGCTCTTTGTAATGATTTAAATCTTAAAGCTTAACTTAAGAGACAAAGACTAACTGGTAGAAAAGAACTTGGAGAATTTTGTAATCAATTTGTTTATACTCTTGATATACCAAAAGATAAATCTTCTAGCAACAAAAAGACTTATTTCAAGCCTTATAAAAAGGGTCAAAAATTCTATAAAAAGAATTATGAGATAGTTAACAAACCTACTAAAAGAGTCAAAAAAAAGAACAAGAAGCCTTATATTAAATGTTTTAAGTGTGGAAAAGAGGGTCACATTGCCTCTAAATGTGTAACTAAACAACAGATAAATGAATTAATTAATGATGAAAATCTTAAAGAAAAAATCTTTAAAATTGTTTTAAACTTCGAAAGTGAGTTAGAAGATAATTCTGATAATTTTTCTGAAGACTATAATATTAATGAAATTAGTAATTCTTCTTCAGAAACAAAATCTTTAAGACAAGATAAAGCTTTTTCTTCACATTGTAAAGTTGAAAATGATTATTATAAAGCTATTTTAGCTATGAAAGGATTAAGTATAAATACTTTGACTAAATCACAAAATTTTATTCTAGACCTTATCGATAAAATTCAGGATCCAGAATCCAAAAGAAAAAGCTATTAAACAATTTTTAGAGATAAATTCAAAAGAAAAGAGACCTAATCTGTCTCAACCATATTCATTAAAAGAAGTCCTTAATAGAAATGAAAGGGACATGAGTAATAGCCCACTCCATATAAAGGAAGCCTAGCCTACTATGATTCAAAATATAGAGATAGAAATCAATAAAGTCAAAGAAGACATAAAAGTTTTAAAGTTTAGATTACTAGCTTTAAAAAAAATTTCATCTAAAGAAAGTAACATACAAGATGATATAACATCACCATCACTATCTAACTTTCATGATAAACCATCACCAAATGACAATATAAGTATTTTAGAAAAAATAATTTATCAAAAATGGTATGTTAAAATTATTTTAGTTATAAATTCTGAGTTTACTATCGAAACTATTGCTCTAATTGACAGTGAAGCAGATATGAACTGCATAAAGACAGGATTAATTCCAACTAAATATTTTGAAAAAACTATTCAGTCAGTCAGTGTTGCTGATGGGTCAAAATTAAATATAAATTTTAAACTCTCTAATATTTTTATATGTAATTAAGGAATTTGTATTCCTACCACTTTTATGCTTGTTAATAATTTAAATCAATTGGTGATCTTAGAAACACCGTTTTTATCTTTAATTGAACCCATAGAAAGGATTGATTTTAAAGGAATTTTGACAACCATAAATGGTCAACAAATATTATTTGAATTTATAACTCTACCTCAAATAAAATTGATAAATCAAATAAAAGAAAATCAATTAAAATTTTCATCCTATTCTAACATATTAAAAAGTAATGTTTATTTTGCAGGACAAGACCAAGAAGTTACATAAATGAGTCCTAACCCAGATTCATTCTCTTTGGATCTTATTGCTAAATCACCAGAACTTCTTGTCTATTTTTATGATTATGCAAGAGAAGATGTTTACAGTTTTTCCTCTACATGGAGTACTAATAATTGCAAAGTTTCACTTTGGTGTCTCTATTACAATGCTATGGAAGATCAATTAATTGACCATATACCTATATTTTTACTAAGAATTGCAAGACGTCAAAAAAAATCTTTTAAAGCAAGTTTAAACTTCCATCTTATTCTTGAAATTAATGATTGACACTATGATTGACATTATAAACAGTGGCTGGTGACTGTAGTCCTAAAAGAATTTTGCCAAGAAATGATAAATAAACTTGATGGTATAACTGTGTGAACCAAAGTTTTAGCATATAAATATGCATATTTCTCTGATGACTATAAAAATATTTTTGATGCATATAAAAGTGCATATTATTTTAATCCATATACGGATTCTCATTATTTTAATGTATATAAAAATATTTATTATCCTCTACTCTCTATCAAGACATCATCACATAAATGTGATAAGAATGACAACTCGTCACAACAACTTAAAGTTGTTACACCTTTGTCAAATAAAGTTGATAATAATGAAAAGCTGTCTGAAGATAAATCTCTTTCTATACCTAAATCTTTGACTTTGCCTCCGTATGTGGAGCTTCATAATTTTATTCAAAGGATATATCTCTATATTAATAATCCCGGACAAATTAGAGACATTATTGATTCTAGACAAATCTGAGAATATTTAATCCAATTTAAGAAAGATTATCCACTTGAGTTTGAAAATAAATTTATCGCGGAATGTCTTAAAGACATAAATAAAGAAAAAGATAAATCTTCAACAGATAAAACTTCATCTTCTACATCAATGATTCCCTCTACTAGTATAAATACTAGAACTAATTTAACTCCTATTGAAGTTCTTAAAAAACTAATTAAAAACGAAAAACCCCACTTAAATCATGAGTAGCTTAAAGCAACAGTTATGGAGGAATTCGATTTTCAGATCATGTCTACTTTTGGCATTAGCAAAACTGAAAAGCTCAATCTCGTCAACACTCCTACAGTTGCCATAAAAGGCAAAGGAAAAGATAAAGTTGAGGAAGAATATAGGAAATCTCCCACTCCTATTAATTCTGATGACGACTTTATGGATTCTCAGGGATATATCCCTCTTAATAATGACATTGAAATTAATGAAGATTTGTTAAATGTTGATATAGAGATAAATCTCTATGATGACAGAGATAATGTACTGTCTACTTTATTTTTCAAGTAATGATCAGATAAAACTAATTTCTCGGATAAAGCCGATCCAGAAGAAGTGACGCACGTCCCGACGTCACTACAATGACGTGACGTACACCTTTACGTCACTACAAATAAATGACGAATGCCCTTACGTCACTATATGTATTGTGAATAGTATACAATATAAAGTATACAGTATGCAATGACGTATGCAATGACGTCATTAAAGTTAGGAATAGTAAAAAGTTGTGAATAGTATTTTTTATTTTTGAAATCCGAATTTCATGTCCGGCTCTATAAATAAGGGTGCAGACCCGACTTGTGGAGCACCGCCCCCTAACCATCTCCTCTATCCTTCACCCAATTCTCTACCTACTCTCTTGACCATCTCCTTCCTTCTTTCTCTGTTGCACCCTCTGTGAACCCTTCTTTTGTATAAACCCTCCTTCTTCCACCTCTTAGTCTACTACTGTAAGTAGACTCTACTCTATAAATACACTTTTGAATTAATAAAAGTTTTTTATTTTGTAAATATATTGATCCTCCCCCTTTCTGGTATCAGAGCTAAGTGTATGGTACCTTAAGTTTATTCTATTGATTTATATGCAGATCTATTACTAATTATTGTTGGTTATGCAATTGTGATTTAATTCTATTAGACTACTTTTACTTTTATATTGTGAAAGTAATCTTGTCATAATAATGTTTCTCCGATAGCTTTTATTGTTTGTTGAATCGTGTTCGCATGAATTTTCTCTGTAGAGTTCTATATCTGGTGGCGTGTGGGATGTTAGGCCATTTTAACCATATTTTGAGTGATTGTTAAGCGTTTTGATGACATGTTTCTAGTCCCGGTATCGTTAACAGAATAGGATTTTGGGAAAATTCACTAGAACATGTTTAGCTCACAATAGATGTTGAGAAATTTATTTTTTTCGGATTATTGTAGCAATTATCACAGTAGCGGTACTGTAATAGAATTAAAAGACGAATTACAATAGTAACTTGAAGAAGGTAATAGTGAAACATATAATTCAGCAGAAAAACTGTTGAGATACCACTATGTCTTTAAACCTATTTAAATTTAAACTTAACCATAAAGATGACTATGTTAAAAATATGGAAGAGATAGAATTCTCTGATATTGAAAATAAATTACAGAACTGGGATATACTCCAGTACCCCACTAAGAAAATCTATAATATTGACACTTTTAATTTTAAATCGAGTTTTACTATTAAAACGATTGAAATGATTGTTCTTTTTGATCAGAATGGAGATATTTTACAACTGCTAACTGAACGAGAAGCCTTAAAGGCTCAAGATCAAGATTATAAATTTTTGTATATTGATTTAGTATAGGTTGCTTTAAAACCTTTAACTCTTCATGGATTAATTGTCAGGTGTCTTATATATATATATATATGTTAGCACCAAAAATTTAAACAAAATCATCCCTCTGAGAATTTGATTGATAGTAATTAAGGGGTCCATTAGCACCTAAGGTATCATTTGATCACCTTTTTTAAGTAATTTTGTTTTTTGTTTTTTTGAAGTACTTTTTAAGTATTATTATTTTTCCACTCTTGTTTCTCTGTTTTTTTTTCCTTGTTCGGGTTTGCTTACTTTCTCCCACCTTATTTGAACATGGTTTTGGTTTCTGAACGATTTTGTTATGAAAAGTACTTAAAAAAGTTTCACCAAAACAGAGTTTCAGTGTTGGAAAGCGAGACCTTTATTCTCTTTATTCCAAAACAGGCCGATTTTGACTTTCTTAAAAGTATAGGATATTTTTGACAAGCAGGGTAAACAAACCCTTCTCCCTTATGAAATCTGAAAATATGAGCAATTGTTACTTCTTGAGAATTGTAAGGGCAGTAAGCAAGACCTAATGAAATCATAAAAAATGATCGTGGATCGATCAAATCCTTTCCTACTCAAAAAATAAATTTTCAAGCTGAATCCTAGTTTAAAAGAAAAAATATACAACCAGGTGCAAATATTTGAAAAAATTACAAATAAATAAATCAATCAAATAAATGCAACTAAAGGATATAACTCCTGGTGTGAAATTGGAGTGATTCAATAATCATGCTGCAGAGGCTTGACTTCACACTGCATCATTTGGTACTGCCAAAATTTGATCGGGTTGTTCAACTCAACTCTTCTCGACCGAGCCTTATTCCAATCGGGCTCTTGGGAAACTTCATCGTTTTCCATTCATGCTAGGTCTGGACCGCTGGGTAGTAGTTCATAGCCATCGTGATGCTTTCCTGAGTAAGTGTGCACGGTCTTAGCAACAGGAATGCACTTTAGGAGAGCTGCAATGAACAAACTTGCAGCCCCCATTAAGACACTGACTAACCACAGGTCCCAGCTTAATGGCACAGTATCTGCAAATGCGCCCAGAAATTCTACTATAACAATCTGGAAAGCCACTGTGGAGACCATAACGATCATGAACACCCAGCTATCGAACATGCCCCGGAATACATTTATCTTCTCCATATCCCGGCTGTTTATTTCGTTGAATACCTGGTGCAGAAAACAGTTTCCTAAATTTGATACTGTTTGATAACGCTTTTGTTGAGAAACTTTATTAAGGAAAAAAAAATCTCGTCACAAAAGTGAAGCATATTTAATCACACTATATGATAAAAGTGATATATATGAATCTTAACATTGACTTATAAACTTATATATAGGCATATACTAATATATGTGCATATCTCATAATGTAGGTCGGATTTGATAGTATTAATATCACAAAGATAAACAACAAATTATTATTTTTGAACTGAAAACAACAATTATTCAATTAGGCTAAAAGGTACGTACAGTTTTATAATAAGGTGTAATATCCAAATTCGCATGAGGCCCACATGGCTTTAAAACAAATTGCATAATGAGGGTCTGAAGATCACACTTATGTATCATTCCACATCCATTTAACTGAAAGATGTGGGATTGAATCATCACAATCCACCCCTGAAGCTCAAAAGTTCTCGGTTTGGCCACACCTCAAGCCATTGATGTGGGCTTATGGGGATGACTCCTAGCATGCTACTTGCCACCTCTAATACCAATTATTCCTTGAACCCATATTATACAATCTTCTTAGCTTTGGGCAAGGTCCGCACAACTTGAAAATGCATTGTGCAATGAAGGTTTGCCCATTTTATCAAGCGATATGAGATTGGTCATCGGTGTAAGCCAGGTCACACAAATTAAGAATGATGCATTAGGTGCAGATTTATGAGTAGTGACATCAAGGAATAGTCCATGCCTTCGAAATGAGGAAACAACATAATTCAACTACTTGGAAAGTACCTGGCAAAACACAAAGGTGTTGAATATCAATGTTTTCAGGACAGAACTAGAGTCTGGACCATTAAGCTTCAAAAGGGACTTCCCACCAAACATGAGGACCCCAAGAACAGCAAGTTGATAGATGCTGTGGCCAATAATATTTCTCCACATAATTGCGGTTATGAAGTTCACATTCCTTCCAATTGGAGGTCTTTTCATCAGCCCATCGTGTGGAGGCTCAGTAGCAAGTGCTAATGCACCGAGAGTGTCCATTATCATGTTCACCCAGAGCAACTGCACTGTTGTAAGAGGTGAAGAGCCTGAAAGTTACATCAGAAAGTTATCAGTCACCTGCATTATGTAATTGTGTCGAGTACTAACGTGTTGTGTCTTGTCATTTAGGGTATGTTCGAGTACTATTCAACTGTGCCATGACACTAACCCTATCAGTTTACTAATTTGGTTCTGTGTGGGTTCAGATGTATAATATGTAAACCAGAAATCCAAGGCTAAGATCCATTTCTATTTCAACAGAACCCACTTTTTGTGGACCCCTCAACCACTGAAAAAACATTTGAGATTTATTCTACCAAATTTAAGTAAAAATTTGCTAATTCTCCAAGGATTTCATACAATTCCTGATCAAGAACTAACAAAATAAAAGTATAAAACTATCAGACATTTTTCTTTTTGCAATATCAATTAACTGGGTTTGTCACGTTCAAAATGGATTTTTTCATGCCCGACACTAAATCACCAAGTTTGTTATTCGTGTTAGTGGGGTTGTGTCAATGTCACATTCGTGTCATGAACTGTTAAACCCCAACTCACTAATTTGGCGTCGGATTCATATCTTGCATAAAATTGCAATTCTTGTATATAGATGAACATATGAGAAAGTTAGGTGAAGTATGAATGGTACCTGAGGCGCATGCAGATACAAAATTTGTCATGAGAGCAACAACATTAACTGTCAGCTGGAATTGTACGAATTTTTGAATGTTGATGTAAACTGCACGACCCCATTTTGCAACATTCACTATGGTTCTGAAGTTATCATCCATTATGACCACATCAGCATTCTCTTTTGCAACCTGCAGGCATATTGGGCAAGCAGCTTCATCAATAGCATTGAATCGCAGGATAGAATGCATGATTCATAGAACAAAAACCAAACGGTGTTGCCGCCCCGTCCTCTCACACATTATGTCAATAGATTAAGCAAACATTTGCATACTGACAGAGTATCCCATTGCAAGAGGCTCCCGCCACTACAGGGTCTCTGGAGTATCAAATATACACATTGTTACGTTCTGTTATGTACTCATTAGTTTGTAACATTTAGAATAAATTGTAGATTTATGCATACTAGGTTACCAATGAATGTGAAGGTAACATTCATATTTACATCAGACAGAGGCATGTCTTCTCTATTAAACAAGATTATGATAAAATGAAATTGCTTGTGATTGCATTTTCGACTTTGTTTTGTCATGACTAGTCTCCGATTGAGACGTAACCGACCTTTCTGAGCCATAACTTGATATCAATTAATTGTAACTAATCCACATTTAGTTATGATAAGATGTTCAGCATGGATCTTTAATGCCAGAGTAAGAAGTGTCAAGTATATATGATTAGGCAAGAGACAAACCTCTGTTCCTGCTATGCCCATTGCGAGTCCAATATCTGCCTCATGCAAAGCAGGGGCATCATTAGTCCCATCTCCAGTCACTGCCACTACTTCTTTAAAGTCATTCCTCAACTGGGTTACTAATTTGTGCTTGTCCAGAGGTAATGATCGAGCCATCACCTGCACAACACATAGTCCATAAATCATTTAGACACATTTTGTAGGAGGAACCGGCAATGAATTCGATACCATAGGAGTTAATTGTAAATCAACTGGCTTCAAATTACTACTCAAAAAGGTTATTTACAAATCAAAAGATCAGTTTACGACTCAGAAAAGGATAGGTGGGAAGCAAAGTGAAAATTTCTTGAAGCTGTTGTTGAACCTGAAGTTTAGGCATTATCTCCTTCATCTCCCAGGGACTTTTATCCCGAAAATCGGGCCCTTCTATTGCCACACCATCATCTGTCAAGATGCCACATTCCCTCGCTATAGCCTTAGCAGTATTAATATTGTCACCGGTGACCATACGCACCGTGATCCCAGCAGCTAAACAAGTTTGAACAGCTTCTCTCACCCCTGGCCGCACCGGATCCTTAATTCCAATAACTGCAATTAGTGTATACATATTGTCAGGAATAGTATGTTCATTGGCAGAGTCTTCTCCATCTTTGAAAGCCACACAGAGGGTTCTGAGAGCTTCACAGGCAAAATCATTAATGACATTTGTGATTTTCTTTCTCTGTTCTTCAGAAAGAGGCACAGATTCACCATTTTTGTCAACAATCTTGTTACACATACTTAGAATAATTTCTGATGCCCCTTTGCAAAATGCTCTAACCCCACCACCAGGAAGAGCCACAAGCACAGACATCTTTTTTTTCACAGAATTGAAAGGTTCAACTTTGAGTACCTTAGAATCTTTGCAAAAGGCACGAAAATCTCTGTTGAAAATCAACCCAAATTCCAACAAAGCAGCCTCGGTTGGAGAACCCAAAATGCTCATCTTCCCATCTTCTCCATTCACCACCTCAGAGCTAGTGTTCTGAAAGATTGAATGCAATAGGATGCTCAATACCCTCTCAGAGAGAGAAGATTTCAACAAATTTCCACTGACATTTTTTTCAATCTCTTTAGCTTCTCCACATATCCATAATTTGGTAACAACCATATGATTTGTTGTCAATGTTCCGGTTTTATCAGTGCAAATGCAAGTAGCAGAACCCATGGTCTCACATGCTGACAGATGCCTCACTAGTGCCCTATCATTCATTAATTTCTTCATAGCAAAAGCAAGACTTAGAGTCACTGCTAATGGTAGCCCCTCTGGAACTGCCACCACAAGTATAGTCACTGCAACAGCAAAGAAATTCAAAAGCTTTAGTGCATCATGTATAGACCATATTGTGATCTCGTTGTGAATTGCCTTCACCACCATAAATCTGATTGTGAGCACCAAAAATGTCAGAACGGCAAAAGCCAAACCTATCTTCCCAACAATGGTGGCCACCCCATTAAGCTTCACCTGCAATGGTGTCTCATCCTCACCCCCTTCACTCAATGTAACCATTAGCCTTCCCCATTCGGTCCTCATCCCTACTGATGTCACCAGCATTTTACCAGAACCATCTTGCACTTTAGTCCCAGATAGAAGAAATGGCCTCTCTTTCTCTACATTTACTGGCTCACTCTCACCCGATAAGCTTGATTCATCGATTGATAAGCTGTACCCCGATATAAAAACCCCATCTGCAGGAACTTGATCTCCAATAAACAGATGAACAATGTCTCCAACCACCAAATCATAGATAGAAACCTTCTGTCTTCTTCCATTTCTGGTGACCTGAACAACTATATTTTTCTTTTCTTTATCCAACTCCTTGAATTGCAAGGACTGTTTGTAGTCACTAATTGCAGTGACTATCACCACCAAGAAAATACAGAGAATTATTCCTAACCCATCATACATTCCTTTAGGCCAGCCTTCTGTGGCAATTCCAACACTCACAGATACCACAGCACACACGATGAGAATGATCAAAGTCAAGTCCTGCAGGGCTTCCCATATAAACATCCAAAAAGGCTTAGAAGGTTTTTCAACAAATTGGTTCAAGCCATAGATATCTTGCCTGAGAGACATCTGGCTTACGTCCACTCCATAGTCCGGCGAAACCAAGACTTTCTCCGCAAGTCCTTCAACTCCTCCATGGAATTTCAAGCTGTTCATGCTATGAGAACGAGCAATTGAAGCAAGCTGGTCCGGTCCGATTCTGAAACCAGCTTGGCTAACCTCTTCAGAGAGATGATCCTGGTTATCCTGGTTTCGGCTCTGATCAAGTCGACTAGCTGCTGTACTAGACAAGAAAACATAATTCAGAAGGAAATACATGGATGAGACAGTATGAGTATGATCAGTGAAGAAGAGCATACCGTCAATGAAATGCAATGCAGCTTTTTGAACAAATAGTGCTGTTCTGAGCTTTTCCTGCCCAAACAGAAAATCATGAGAAAAGTAAAGAAACTTAACTATAAGAGTTAGCATTAATCAGCATTTGATAATTGTAGAAGTATCGGGTCGTCTTTGGTTTGCGTCTCAAAAAACAGTATTTAAAAATTATTTTTGAAAAGAGTTTTAGAAAACTATTTTTTGTATTTTTTTGTGTCACAGAACTTGTTTGGTGATATGATTCCAAAAACAGTTCTACTGGAAAAAAAAAAAAAAGTAAAACTTGTTTGGACCTAAATTTGCATAATGTCAAATCCACGAAGATTGATGGCCTCAATTTGGTGCATATTTCCAAGTCAATCTCATGCAAGGATCTAAATTTCTTTCTGTCGTAGTGTCGATTAACTCAGAAATAAAAAACATTTTGGAAGTGTTTCCAAAATAGATTGGACAAAAATGGAATTTTAATTTAGAAATATTAGCCAAAACATTGCAAAGCTTCCCTAAACAAAGAAAGTCAACCATCAGCTCTTTTGGATTGCTGGGACCATATGCTTGGACTCCAGGAAACCACAAAGCACAGCAAATGTAGCACGTGAAAGTGGAGTCCTACACATCCTACATTCCAGGATAAACACTAATGCTGGTGGTATGAAGGGTTTGATTAGAGTATAGAATTATTTTTTTTTGACATCATGCCACTTATAATTTTGTGAGTATTTATATTATTTGTTGGTGGATGTTGCCAACATTTTATTGATTACTCTTTTGAACTTGGATACTCGTCATCGTAATGCGAGTGAGTTTAGAACATGTCCCTAAAAAATAAGAATGACTAACTTTTAAAGGTATGAAAAATGTCAAACTTGAGATTTCTCAAAGATCAAGCTAAATCACTGAACTATCCTGAGGATTAGTTGCCTCATGAATTCACCACGAAACACTACACCCTTTATTCGGCTGCTAAGACTAACTTTTGGACTTTTTTATTTTTTGACATAGTCTAAAAAGTAAAAAGATGTACCATACTTCCCCATTACCAAATTTCTTTATCAATGTAATTTTTTATATCAATTGACATAATACAATCACAATTATTAATATGACTAAGAACAATTCAGTGGATTTTTTTCCCAACTAAGCAACAAATATGATTTGAAAGAATGGAACTGAGAGAATCAAGAAGTAAATCAAATCATTATCAAAGAGGAAAGTCAGTGACTTGCAAAATAAGAGCTAGGTCTCTCACATCATGTCAGGCAAGATGGAATCGAATCGAATTTTAGTGAGTTCGTGTAAAAAAAAAAGTAGTCAAGTTATATTCGATTCGTTTATTAATTTGAATTTAACAAATTATATCATATCAGATTTGTATCGTATATATAAACGAGTCATGTAGTGTATTTTTCTTATTGACTTCACTCATATTCGATTTTCATATTAATCATATCGTATCGAGTTCACTCGTTTACTAAATAGGTGGCTTACGGAAGATCTAAACCTTCTGATTTCATATTAACAAATTGTTTCATATTTTTTAAATCACGGCTAGAACGGCAAAAAAGTATGCAACTACACCCTTTGTGACATTTAAAGCTTCTTTCGGCTTACCTATGTCAGTAAATGAATTGCTTAAGAAAGATTGGACCTACTTGGCATCATGATTGTTACCAAAACTAATAAAGAATTGTTACACACAGTTTTGATTGAAAAACAGGATGCCTCAAATTAAGTGTGCTTAAAAAGCAGATATTAATATGGATGTAAATCATAAAACTATAAATAAATATATTTATAAAATAATAGAACGAATGAGACATATGTCTCATTATTTTTATATGGTAGAAACTCTTTTATAATTATTGTAAAAAATTTAATCAAACATTATTGGTAATTATTCAGTTGAACAACACTTAATGCTGAAAATACCGAAAGTCATAGAATAGTACCATAACATCAAAAGTTGAACTCAATGAAAGCGACAATGGCTATAATAATGGTATCATGAAGGAATGGACGGTGACAGTGACGACAATAGTAGTGAGAGTGATGGTGATGGTAGCAATAACTTAATAGCGGCATCGTCAGAGATAAGGGTGGAGTGGTAGCACCGGTGGTGTTTACAATGTTGTTGACAATGTTATGTTTTGATAATGCTGTAGGGAGGACTTGATTGGGGCTTGAGTGAGGAAGTCCCAAACGGTGTATTAAGAGTGATATAATAGATTATTAATTATATATTGATAAAAAAATTATCAATTTTGTTTAGTTATAATATTTTTGTTTATTTGTGGATAAAATAGTAAATTTATAATTTATTACGCTTAATTTGAACTATAATTGACTCAATAATACGAATAAAGTGTATTATTTAAGTAATCATTGAAATAAGATTATATATAATACGTAATGTGGTCGTTTGGTTGCTGTATTAAGAGTGTATTAAAGAGTCATAACAAATTAAAACTCGCTGATCCAACCTTATACTGCATTTGGTTGCAACAAATATTTCTTATTGTATTTAGTCTTATTTTGAATGCTTATGCAAATAATACACTATATCCGTACTATTGAATCAATTATAATACCACCTGTGGATGTGGTATCATAATTTAGTTCAAGCGTATTAAGTTATATATTTACTATTTAACCATCAAATAAATAAAAACATTAATAACTAGACAAAATTGATTTTTTTTAGTTAATATGTAATTAAAACTCTATTATCCCACCTTTATTCAGTGTCTTACCAAATACTGGATTACAATGAGTATTAACTTTATCCCATATTTAATTTTTGTATTTTATCTGCTTATACAGAATTAGTTTGTATTAACTAATACAATCTTTTCTTTACTATACAACAACCAAACGAATCCAATTTTTTTTATAGCCAAATGCAATATAAGATTGGATTAAAGAGTTTTAATTTGTTATTATTCTGTAATCTACCATTTAATACTACAACTAAATGACATGTTTCCAAACTATCCTACATCTTTTTTTTTTGCCCCTTTCCATGGAATAGATAACTTGCATCTCCTCAACAACCAGGGTTGCCATTGTAAGTCTTTCTCTCTCTCTCTTCCTCCCCCCCCCCCCCCCCAAAAAAAAAAAAAAAAAAAAAAAACCTCCTTCCCCCTCCCTCCTTCCCTCATACAATTAGGTATGTGGTATACCTATATGTGCACAATTGGGCTTCAATTAATTATATATGGATGGAGAAATGGAAAGAGAAACGAAGATTAGGAGTGTAATTTGGTCAGGTTATACTTGTAAGAAGTTGTAAGTCTTAGAAATTCTTCTAAAAAGTTATCTCAAATACACCTTTATGAGACCTATTTTTTTTATTAAATTTAGAGAGTTAATATTAATCGTCAAATTAATTTAAAATAAAATTTAAAATAAACTCAACTGAAAAAAACAAAAATTATTTTTTATATTTGACTTGATATTGCCCTTTTCTAATATCAATCTAACTTTCTTATTTGCCACTAATATACATCTTTGTTATGAGCATCAACTGGATGGACCAAACAAATTGCAAGCATGAAGACACGCTAAACTGACAATGCCAGCCGACTGACATTTCTGAGGGTGAGTCATAAAGAGCAATCCTGTTATGACATCTATATAATAAAGTAGTTAGATTTCTTTTTCTTTAGTTTTTTGTAACTCAGATCGGTTGTAGAGTATTTATCTAACGATTTTAATTAGACTTTTATTCATTTTAAAACTCTAAGACTTCTATCTCTAATATAACTCTCTTTTTCTTTCTCTTTCTATCTCATACACCCAACTCTCATACATATATTAGTATATAACTTTCTCCCTCTCTCCCTCACAGATATTTTAAACACACACTCTCTCATCTTTCATACTCTCTCTCTCTCTCTCTCTCTCTCTCTCTATATTAAGATTGTTAAGACAAACAATGTTATCTCATACTTTTTCTCTTAACAATATTTGTTTATCTAGACGATCTTAATTGAACTTATTTACTCAAAATATCTGAATGATTTTATAGATGAGAAAATATTTAAATATTAAAAAATATTCTCAAGTTGTACATATTCAAAGTCAAGTTAATCACCAATAAAAAAAATTCAAAATAAGCTAATCACCAATAAAAAATAACAAGTGATACCAATTGCACCAAAAAAATAAAAATTTCAAAATCAAGCTAATTACTAATAAAAAATAACAAGTGATATCAATTGCACCAAAAAAATTAAAAAATTTAAAGTCAAGCTAATTACCAATAAAAAAATAAGTGAAATCAATTGCACAAAAAAAATAATATTCTAAACCAACTATTAATTGTTTTTTCCTTATTTGCATTGTTTTCCCCTTGCTAATGTTCATATTTTTTAAATACTTGAATTGTGCAACATAGACACCGAAACGATAAAAATGTCAATTAAATCAATTTTTTTTAAATAGTGAAATTTTGATTTTGTTGATTTGGTTTAATTGCAGTGTGAAAATATTTTTGTAGCATTCGAGAAGTCATAGCGGCAAATAATTTAAACCAATTGTTCTTACAGTTACAAGTAGATTCGCTGGACAATGTTAGTTCAGTTGGGTTTTCTTTTCTATTTTTTGAAAATTTGAGCTAGACAACCTATTCATTAGATTTAGCAAGAAGTTGAAAAAAATGAACACTCATTAGAAAGGAGAGCCAACATGAAGAAATATATGGCACGATAATTTTGCAATGGTGTTAATTTAAGTTCATAGAGATTTTCAGATTGTATTAATGTGATTAATTTTTTCATTTCAATCCTTGCACTTCTTTTATTTAAGACATTATTGGATGCCCCATTTCCTTAGCAATTTGTTTGTGTTAAAACTACTAAAACTATAATAACAAGGATTATCTCTAATAAAATATAAATTCATTAACATATGTCGTCTTATTTACCTATCTATATATATCTATATCGATATTTATATCTATATATATAATCAAATCTATATAATAAGTGGTTCAAACTCGTAATTTAGAAGTAACAAAATAATAATACAATAACAAGGATTGTCGCTAACAAAATATAAGTTTATTAACATATGTCATCCTATATCTATCTATTTAT